AAAAATTGGAAAGAGTCCAACGGAGGGCAACAAAAATGATTAGGGGTCTGGAGCACATGACTTATGAGGAGAGGCTGAGGGAACTGGGATTGTTTAGTCTCCAGAAGAGAAGAATGAGGGGGGATTTGATAGCAGCCTTCAACCCCCTGAAGGGGGGTTCCAAAGAGGATGGAGCTTGGCTGTTGTCAGTGGTGGCAGATGACAGAACAAGGAGCAATGGTCTCAAGTTGCAGTGGGGGAGGTCCAGGTTGGATATTAGGAAAAACTATTTCACTAGGAGGGTGGTGAAACACTGGAATGCGTTACCTAAGGAGGTGGTGGAGTCTCCTTCCTTGGAGGTTTTTAAGGCCTGGCTTGACAAAGCCCTGGCTGGGATGATTTAGTTGGGAATTGGTCCTGCTTTGAGCAGGGAGTTGGACTAGATGACTTCTTGAGGTCCCTTCCAACCCTGATATTCTATGATTCTATGAAATAAATAGCTTCGTTGTGTGGACTGGTGCAGGGTTAATTCGAGTTAATGCTGCTAAATTCGACATAACCTCCTAGTGTAGACCAGGCCTAAGACTGGTGAATGCCAGAGGGGGGCTGGAGTGTTGCTGACAGGCTGCTGAGGTCAGAGTTGTTGGACCAGGGCTGCAGCTATACACAGACACTCTGGGTGACCTGCATGCTGGCAGGCTGTTTGTGAGTGGCCCAAGTTGGGAGCTACCACAGCAAAGCATTGTGTGGCATGCAGGTTTGCGGTGCAGGTGGTGACGCAATCTCTCACTGATCTGGAACGCACCCCAGAATGTGACCGAGGGCAGCATAGGTGAATAGACCTGCCAAAAGGCCTTTTCTCAACCTCTTTGGAGAACTGGAGTATCAATTTGACATTAATTCTGAAGCCTGGCTTTCTCTGTAGCATTACAGAATCAGTAACCCAGCAGATTCATCTACTTGATGATGAGCTACACTGTGGGGATTTCTCATTTTGCCTACCCCCTTCCTAGGCAAATGGAGTTGACCCTGTGAATGCTGTTGACCATCTTGACCTCTTATATCCCCGACTGGACAATTCACGGAGCATAGGAGCACATCTTTCTCTTGTGGCCGGAGAATTAGGATGGTGTGCATCAAAGGAAAAAGTGGTGTAATGTCATTAGGAAGAATTGAGGCAGGTGGACAGTGGTACAAGAGGGAGCAAATAGTAAACTCGTTTCTCTAATGCTTTTTTAATAGGGTCACCCTGCTCCATATAAAACCGTTTCAGCCCGAGCAGGAACACCATCCACTATATTGCGACTTCCAGCTAGTGTTTTTCAGGATGTTTTCCAGAAGTATCCTGAAACTCTTGTCAGAATGGTACAGGTAAGACTGATCTGTAGTTTGTTTTTATTATGTATTCCTTATGCCACCTGATTTTATACCAAATTTTGCACCCTCGATAATCTGTACATTATTCCCTGATAACCAGAAACTTCTATGCTCAAACTCTGTTCACTTTTTTTTTTAACATCATCTTAATAAATTTTTATATCCATCTTTCCTTTAAAAGGTTTTTCCCTATCCGGCCAGCTAGTCCATCCTTCTGCTGGTGCAGAATTGTTCTCCTTAGCATATTTTCAGGGTTTTGTCCAATATTTAAGTATCCCAAGTGTTGGGGTTGCCATCACATATCCAAGGATATTATCACACAGTTTGATTGATCTTTATGTTAGGTGGGGATGAGGGAAATATTTCCTAAATGTGTCTCGGCTTAATTTCATCACATTATACCCTTCCTTGGACCAACATGCCGAAGTTTTCTTCCCCCTTGAGGCCAGATTCTGCCTTCAGAAATATGCAGCTCCTGTTACTGTCCGTGGGGGCTGCCTCTGCTCATCAAAGAGCAGAATTTGGCCCTAGATATTTACTTCCCAAACATCTGCAAACTCTGAACTGCTGTAGCAGTGGGTACTTGGAATAAGTTCTAATCTTTGCTCTTGAGTAATGCTACCACTTAATTAATTTGTGTTATTGTGACACCTTTATTGGACTCTTAAGAATGATATATGACTAACTTTCCCCTGGATATGTGGTGGGCAAAGAATGGCAGAGGGAAATCTAATGGCGATGAAGACAGCTTATTGCCCCTCTGTAAGTTTCCAATGTCTCTAGTTCAAGACATAGTGTCTTTCCTTGGGGCTGGTCATAAGTCATTCCCTCGCTAACCCCCAATACGCTGTCCTTTTTTGAAGATCTTGAAAAAATGGGGACTTAGAATCTGAGCATCTGGGTGCTCAGCACTTCTGGAAATCAGTTTGTTTTTTTTCATTGGTATAGACATAGATCAGCCTCTTGGTGAATAAGCAACCTTATCCATATGCCAGACAAGATGTTGGGAGATAGGGAGAGGTGGGGAAGGAAAGAGGAGTCTAGTTAAAGAGGAGAGTGACAAAGGGGAGATGCCAAATGAGAACTGATTGCTGTAGAGAATATATATCTCCTCAATATATGTTCCATTCTATGCATCCGAAGAAGTGGACTGTAGCCCACGAAAGCTTATGCTCAAATAAATGTGTTAGTCTCTAAGGTGCCACAAGTACTCCTGTTCTTTTTGCAGATACAGACTAACACGGCTGCTACTCTGAAACCTTCTGTAGAGAACTGTAGATTTTGGATCATATGCTCTTATGAAGGGTGTTTATGACATCAAGATGTCATGATCAATATTATAAATATCATCATTACTTGTTTATTGCCAACAGTGTATAGGCCCTTTATAGTTCTTGCAAGAGCCTCTAAAATTGGGACACCAGACCCAACTTGCCCCTTGAGATTGTAATTTTATTAAAACAAAACAAAAACACCCCCTCCCCCCAAGTTGGGATTTTGAGGTCTTCATACCAAAGAGGGGTGCCAGACACTGCATCTGCTTAGCTGGCTGCCTGTCTTCCCAGCCCTAGCCCCCTGCAGCCAGCCGAGAAGCTGCCGGCCTCCCCAGGCTGTCTCCCCCCAGCCCCTGAGGTCAGCCCAGAAGCTGCCTGTGTCCCTGCTTGCCCCAGCCCGGCTCTCTCTGCCCTGGAAAAAGACTCACCTGCTTGCTGCAGTCAGAGCTGGGCTGGGAACTGCTGCCACCACACACGCTGGGAACCTGGCTTCTGGCCAAAACAGCTGAAGATAACTTTTTGGCATGAAGCCGCCTGATTGGCCAGATGGGGAGAGCTGATTGGCTGCAGGGGAGCAAACAGCTGGTGCGGTCTGCCCATGCAATAGCTGATTCTCTGGTTTGTGCTAAGCACCCACTATTTTTTTCTCCTGGCTCAACCTCCTACTGTGTCTCTTGGTGAGAGCCCAAGCTTTCAAGCCACACAGCGCTCTTCTTCAGCTGTGGGGAAAGCTATTCCCAGCATCACAGCAAAATGCAAAGTGGAACAGAATGTTTAGCATAAGTAGTTAGCACAAATTGTAAGGGAATATTCAAGGTAGAGTGGCCTGTTAACACTTCTGCAGTCATAGGACAAAAAGAGTGGGTTAGTGGATGTTGGTGTATTTAGTATTCACCTGCTCCCTGTGTTTGATCTCCCGCTCCTAGATCATCATGGTGAGGCTCCAAAGAGTGACATTCTTGGCTTTGCACAACTATCTTGGCCTGACCACCGAGCTCTTCAATTCCGTAAGTGTACAATGAAAGCAATTTACTCTTATCACACTGTATGTATCTGATTCTAACCCTGGCTGTGGGAGTGTGTCTTCTACTCCAGTAGCTCGCAAGCATAATCTCTGTATAAAACTAGCATTAATTTATTGTTTGCAACAATATTAATACCATCGTGCTTGAGAGTGAAGCTCTCATGCTATAAAATCTGCTCAGTGCTGAAGCCTGCTGAATAACATTTCATTTGGGCATTTTTATTATGGAGGCTATCATGGCTACCAGGCTAGCTGCATCTCTGTCCCCTTTCTAGTCCCTCTGAGTGCACCCCCTCAGGTGTAGGCTCTTGTGTCTTTACCTATTGTGATGCTCTTCTCCAGTGCTCCCAGAACCATAAGCCAATGTGCAGGGCTCTACCAAATTCACGGTCCATTTTGGTCAATTTCACGGTCATAGGATTTTAAAAATCATAAATTTCATGATTTCAGATATTTCAATCTGAAATTTCACAGTGTTGTAACTGTTGGGGTCCTGACCCAAAAGAGGGTTGGGGTGGGGGTCACAAATTTATTGTAGGGGGTTGTAGTATTGCCACTCTTACTTCTGCGCTGCCTTCAGAGCTGGGGCCTTGGCCAGCAGCCGCCACGCTCTGGCCACCCAGATCTGAAGGCAGCAGCACAGAAGTAAGGGTGGCATAGCATGGTATAGCCCCACCAGCAGCAGCACAGAAATAAGGGTGATGTTGCCTTCAGAGCTGGGTGCCCAGCCAACAGCCATCATTCTCTGGCCACCCAGTTCTGAAGGCAGCACTGAAGTAAGGGTGACAAACCGTGACCTCCCTACAAATACCTTACAATATCCCCCCCTACACAGCCCCCCTTTTGGGTCGGGACTTCCAGTTTGAGAAATACTGGTCTCCCCCTTGAAATCTGTATAGTACAGGGTAAAAGTATACCAGATTTCATGGTCCGTGACGCATTGTTCATGGCTGTGAATTTGGTAGGGCCCTACCAATGTGTTACTCCACTTGGCCTCAGCAAGAAAGAGCTTTGCTGGAACTTCAACTGTGTGTCAACTCCCTGCCACACCGCTGTCTGCCTTCCCAGCAAACTCCTCAAGACTCTGCCTGTCTTAATCTAGCCTTGCAGGTAACATTCAGTGAGACCTAGTTTCGCAGACATACCTCTCTGCAGTGTCCAGTCCCTCTCACTGGACACTCGCAGGAATTATGAAGTCTGCAGTCTCCAAAGTAACAGTGCACACACACCAGCATGTTGACTCACTGTGGACACACTCTTCAACTTAATACACAGTACTGAGGTCATTTATAGTAAAATTAAGCATATGTTTGTTAATAAAGAGCAGAGATTTAAGTGATACTAAGCAAGAGAAAAAGACATATATGGTTACAAACAAAACAAAAGGAAAAATGTGCTTTCTGATGTCTAAAAGCTTGACAGTTCACAATCTGGTCTCAGGCAGTTTCTCACCTACAGTCAGTTCTCAGCGTCTTCAGCCCAGATGGTTGAAGGATTCATCTTGTATGGATTCCAAGACCACAGGCCTCATTTGTCCAATTTAAGTGATGATTGAGGCAAAGGGCCTCCCTCCCCTTCTTTTTATAGTCCAATAAACCTTTGAGATGTATTCTTCTGAAGGGATAAAGTTTTTCTCAACTACTTGTCCCCCAAGAAACTGATGCCATCCTGGCTTCCTTGCCCTCCTCTGTTTGCTTTTCCTGTGGACTCAGATGCAAATGAACTTACACTGTCTCTGGTGTCACCTTGCTCAATTTACAATGGCGAAACAGGCAAAACAACATTCCCTGTCTAGGACAAACTTGTTTATCAGATGCTTCCACAGATTATTTTAAGAATCTCTTACTGGCCTACATACATAACTCTTTATATGCAACCCGTCCAGTGTTTTACCCAGAAATTGATATTAGGGGTGTGTGTTTGAATTTACGGGGAGGTGGGGTATCAGGGCCAAGAGGGGTGAGACAGTGAGAGTGAAGGTGGGCTGTATGGCACCATAGTAAAAACTGAAAAATGTTTCATGACCATTTTATTAGATTTAACTCATGTTTTAAAATCATCACACAAATTAAAGTTGGCTACTCAATCCTTCTATGAAGCACTACGTCTACATCCTTCTTGATTTCTTGTTATAATTTTGCACAACTCTGTTAATGAACTTCTTGAATGCAATGCGTTCATCTTTGGTGGCTTCTCGTGTGTCCGGTACTTCCATTCCTTCAATTGATATGCTCATTAGTTCATTCACATGATCAGGCAGAAGGCGACTTCTTTCAGAACACAAAATTCTATTCAATGATGAAAAAGAACGCTCAACTGTAGCTGTTGTGACTGGGAGTAGCAAGAGATGAATTCTTACTTCTTTCATCCCAGGAAACAGAACACAAAGATCGGGTCGAGCCACTAGTGATGATAAAAAAGAAGTTGAAGTCAAATCTTCATTCATTCATCGTATGATATTCCACTGTGTTCAAATTCTCTATTCTGTCCTGATCACATGGCAGCCCCATTGCTGGTAGTGCCTCACTCCACTCAACTGTTTGTGTTTTATAGGACAGGCATCTGTAAAAGCTACGTAGAGGTTGAGTAGAATCTAGAAGTCGCTGTTGTAGATTTTTAAGAATCAAGTCTGTGTACTTTTTCAGTTGTCTTAACAAATACTTCTTGTCTTCTTCACTTAAGGATTCAATATAAATGCCTTCATTAGTCAACTTCTGGACTGAAATCTTTGCTTCTTCCAGTACTTTTTCAATGGATAGCTCTCTGATTTGATCCAAATGTAGCTTCTATTGCTGGACAAAGATCTACTACTGTTGTAGCATTGTTGTTCTTATGTATGTATCGGATGCATAGAATGGAACATATATTGAGGAGATATATATTCTCTACAGCAATCAGTTCTCACTTGGCATCTCCCCTTTGTCACTCTCCTCTTTAACTAGACTCCTCTTTCCTTCCCCACCTCTCCCTATCTCCCAACATCTTGTCTGGCATATGGATAAGGTTGCTTATTCACCAAGAGGCTGATCTATGTCTATACCAATGAAAAAAACAAACTGATTTCCATTCAGATGGCATTGTTTAATGACCCAAGTGGTTTCAACAGTAGACTTACGAGAGAGAGAATGGCAATAGTCTTCTCTGAACGTAGTAGCAAAAGTAATCCACCAGCCTCACTACTTAGATCCATCCCATCATGGTAGATACTTTCCAAAGCCAGTAATAACAGCTGGAGTAATTTTAAGACAACAGCCAAGGATCGCTCATGAGAAAGCCAGCAGGTTTTCCCAGTTTGGACTAATCTGAACTTCAGACCCATTATACCTTCTGTATTTTCCAAGATATTCAGTCTTTTTGGACTCTTTCTGAAAAAAGAATACAATGAAGACATTAAATTTATAGCTTTTTAAATGTCTTTTGTAGATTCTGCAGCTCATACTAGTGCTAGTTGGAGTAGATGGCCTCTGCAATGTGTATAGGAGAGATTAGGGTTACAGTTTTCTCTGAGCAAAGCTTGTACTCCACCATGTCTTCCAGA